CTGCTGAGGTGGGGTAGGAGAGACTCTGACATCCTGCCCACCTCCCTGTCTTCCCTTCAGAGCACGCAAGATCCCCATCATCATCCGTCGGTACCTGCCAGATGGGAGCTATGAAGACTGGGGTGTGGATGAGTTAATTATCACAGACTAATCAGCCTCCAGCCCTTGGTTTGCTTTTTTCCTTCCCTAGAGATGTTTCTATTTGTGTAAATAAATTATAAACCTCTCCATTTTAAGGTAAAAGTGTTTGGTTTTTTGGTTTTTTTTTTTTTTTTAAACCTCCTACTTTGTCTTTCACCTCAGTGCTGTGTGCCCAAGAATTTCTGACTTCCCTCTGCCTGGCCATTCTTCTTCCTATCAATGTCACAACCTAATTAAGATTTGGGAGCCAAATGCCATGCTTTTCTGGCAGCTTTTTTTTTTTCCACCTGCAAAGATCCTACCTTTTAGCTAGCCTCAAGACTGCAGCAACTTCTTCCTGCTCCTCCCCAGTTGTAGGACTGATAGCCAGTTAAACTCCTGCTGTATAAAAATACTCTTGCAGGTACTTTGGCTTCAGAAAGCCTCCAGCCATCCACCCCTGTCCCTTCTTAAAACAGGAGTGCTGAGACCCCTCCATTGCTTTCCCCTAGACAGTTGTGCCTTTGTGCCCTGAGCAGGTTGCTGTGGAAACCCCCCAATTTCCTCCCTGGCCAGGGCTGGCTCTGGGGCTTCTCAGGAGTATCGTAGAGCAGCTCTCCTCAAATCACCTATTGTTTCCCTACTCCTGCTGCTTATCAGAAGTGGGGATCCCCTTTCAGTGGCACTGCCCCAGCCGGAAGCACAGTCACCAGTTGCAGTCCCAGCAGCTTCAGCTGCCCCTCCTGCAGCCATTCTCTGGCACGTGGTGGAACTGATGGGCTGGGGCGTGTGGGTGCTCTCCAACCATCTCAGCTGCACGTGCTTGGGTGCTTCTTAGTGGCAAAACAGTGAGTCAAGTCCTAGAGGCCCTTTACTGGGTAGTGTGGTGAAAGATCAGTCACTTGTCCCATTCAGGTACCTGCACCCTCACCTCTGATGTGCTGGGAGAGAGCTGGGTGGATGCATTACAACCTGCAAGGGCTTCCAGCCAGCCACTGCTTAGTTTTCATTCCTTCCTCTGTGTGCTCAAGGCTCTTGCTCTGCCTGAGGATGATCTGAGCTCTTGGGTGGAACAGAGTGAGTCTTTCTTAATCATGTTGATAAAAAGTACTCTTGGGGCTTTTTTTTTTTTTTTTTTTTTTCAAGAGAAAGGGGCAGATGCACCTCTCCTTTGGTGTCTGCTTTACTTTAATTTTTCTCTTGATGCTGGGTCAGGAAGTATATTTCCAACTAGGCTGTGTTAAAGCTTGTGCTTCTATATAAAGTGTCCATTCCCCGTGCTCTGTGTGTGTGGTTGGTGCCTGCACATCTGTGTCCCAGAGGGAGTTTATATTCACCTGCCTGGGAACTCAGCTCATATAACCAACCATGAATGTTGTTCTCTTACTACTCCCTCTAAAAGCACCATTCTGTCCTTCCTCTGTTGGCTTTGGAGGTGACAATACAAGAGCTGAATGGGTCCCTGGGCAGAATGACAGCTCAAAGAGATGCTTGCAGGTGTGGGGAGGGGCTCGACTGTATCCCCCCCACACACAAACACTTCCTCATCCAGGCCATCCTTCCTAAGAAAAGGTTAATTTGCAGCACTGTGGCCTTCAGCCTTCTCCCCCCTCCACCCCCAACCCTCCCTGGAATCCTTTAATCACGTTGGTGTGGTGAAATTTCAGCCCTGAAATGGTGCCTTTGTGCAGTCGTTTTGGCGTCTGCCGTGGAGCGAGGGGGTCTTTTGCTTCTCTTTTTTATTTTTTTTTTCTCCTTTTTTTTTCTCCTTTTTTTTTTAAATGGCTTCTTTGTTCCCTCCCCCCCTCCCCTCCCCAGCCCTTGCATCTGTATCAGATACGATTAAAGGGATAGGGAAAGGATGCCTGGCCAGCTCCAGCTAGGCTGCAGGAGAAGTGCTTAACCCCTCTGTTACCAGGGGCATTTTAGTTGTGAGGACCCCCCCCCTCCCCAGATGAGAGGAGGCATCTCCTTCCACTAGAGAACAGCTGAGGCAGAGCCAGCTTGCTTCCTCAATTTGGCTTTTGAAGAGCTGGAGAAGGGCAGTTGTGTGTGGTTAAGAACTTCTGTTTTGTCCACACCCTGTCCCTTCTTTCTCCCACCCCTCTGATCAGCTCTCCTGCCCCTAACTCCACTCTGACTTTGCTTCCCCCCACGTGCTCCTCACCTGATCAGCAGTGCAGTGGTTCCTTTTTGGTCTCTTCCCCCAGCTTGTGGTTTGGGGTAGAGATTTCTCCTCCTCCTCTCCAGGGAATGGCCACAGTCCTCTCCCATGAAACCTTTTTAGCTGGCATCAGCAGTGGTAGATCCATGAAGCCATTCTGTTGGTGCTTTTGGCCCCACAGAGGACTTCATGCCAATATTGCTGTGAGTTTTAAAAAGCTTTGAAGGTGTTCTGTGGTTCCTAGACATCATGCTTACTCTGCTTGCCCAAAAAAAAAGCATTTAGGGAACACAAACTCACCCCATGCCACTGAAACCCTTTGGAATCAATTTGTTGCAGAGTCTCTGTGTCAATTGGAATCCTACCTTGCTGTCATTAGCCTGAGAGATGCACAGCAGGGCTGCTAAAGAACATTTTCGTTCCACCTATCTTCAGATAGCTGCCCAGGACCTGACTTAAACCCAGGTTTTCTTCAGCTAGTTAGAAAATGTATACATCTCTTCTTAAATATTCACTTTATGGGTGTGTTTGTGTTTAGGTTCTTGCTTGTGGAAGGCAAGAGGCTGGGGGCTGAGTTTCTAAAGAGGAACTAAAGGTTGCTCCCAAAATACACAAGTTTGTGTACATGGGGAAGGTTTTTTTTTTTGAAGGTGTCATCTGCCACCTGGTGATGAGGAACCAAGAGAAGAAAACCCAAAGCTCCTATTCTGGGAAGCATTAACAATCACATTTAAGAGATTTTTGGGTGAAGCACGTGCAAACTAGTGCTGCTTTTAACACCATGGGGCTGAATCTTAGCTGGAGAAGAAAAATCAGCATTACTACACTTCTCACTGAAGAAATAACCAGAGCTGGGGTGTGAACAGGAGGTGAGTTTCATCTCTGGTAAGCCAGAGTTCTGCCTGTGTCCTCTTCATGACAGGCAGAGGAAGAAGGAGACTTGCAGGAAAAAGGTCAAAAAACCCCAGAGGCGTGAAAATGAAACTTTTAAAGTTTATTATTCTGTATGTTTAATGCAGAGTTAATGGTGCTAGGACAGCATAGAGACTGGGGAGAGGGAGGGGAGGGAGGAAGGTGCTACTTGCATAAATAAGGGGACAGGGCTGGGAGAGGTTACATGCGTACAAGGAGCAAACATTCTACATGATCTTTTCAGACACCACAAGGATAAGTCATCCATAGCTAAGGGAGGCAGGAGGGGCATCTGACAGTCATATCAGCAGAGGGATACAACAGCACTGAGCACAGGCCGCGTTTGGTCAAAGTATTTTATCTTTTCTAGACTGGGATAGCCATTGGGAGGTCTCACGACATGTCTCTGCAATCCATTGCCAGGAGTCATCTTTTCCTGCACCAACTTTTATGCTAGTTCACTCCCTGTGTGTGACAAACCACCCCAGTCCTGGAGGTGAGAAAGGAGAAGGAAGCAGACTGTCCTCAGGTGTTGGGCTGAGAAAAGGAGGTTGATCTGACTGCCAGAGCTGGTCGCTTCCAGATTGAAACCCAAAGGGGAAAACAAATTCCTCTGCCCCTGAATGGGCTTCTTTTCTTGACACTCATCCAAGATTGGGTGCATATCTATCTTGCTTAAAGCCACAGGAGTCTCTTTCCATCCTTGGTCTAGGTAGGAGTGAGGTGTCGACTGACTGGAAGACATGATGAACAAACAGTTGGGGATGCACACCCCACGTGTCTGAGTTTGGAGTGGGGCTTCCAAGAGAGTATTAGCATCAACTCGGAGCATTGGCAAGTGCATAGGAGCTTTCTTGGTGCCTCTTTGTTTCAGATATGAAAGAGCAAGGATCAGGTTTGCTCAGTTTGTGATACCAAAGAGATTAGAAAAGACTGAGGTGCCAGAAATGCCAGACATAAACGAACGATACAGAGTACTCGTAAGAAAGGAGGATTCACCTACAGCACCTTTAAGATTCACTGGTCCATCCCCAGCTCTCCTGCACCTCCATCCACGAGCACACACAGGCTGGGACACGAGTGACACTAAGACAATGCAGCTCCTGAGTCCTGCACATCGTCCAGGCAAGCCTTAAAATCTCCATGCAGGACAGAGCGTGGGATTGACCACAGACAGGATGGAGAGGAGGGGTGGGGAGAAAAGCTGGGATGCAGCCGTGGAAAGAGCAGGGAAGGGGGTGTAGGTCTTCCAACAGGATTCAAGGTTCATGCATGTGTGAATCTTAGGCAGGGCTGCTGCACGATGCTGATGGCAAGGCCGCCGGCCGTGCCGTCCTCCCGACTGCTCCTCCCATGACACGGCCACCAAGGCTGAGCAACCACCCTCCACCCGCAGCAGGGCAGAGAAGTGGCCTCTTGGAAACGCTTGCTAACTCCTCGGAGCAGTTTGAGGAAGGGGAGGGAAGGGTGCAGTCCAGTCCAGGGCAACAAAACCCACCAGGGAGCAGTCACTCCACGTCTAGAATCCTCCTCATCTGGAAGGTGTCACAAGCCGGTCGCGTGGCCTGCGTGAAATTGGGAGAGGGCAAAAGGATGAGAAACGTTCCTCCAGGCGGTTGAGGCAGCGAGAGCCGGGGTCAAGGAAGGCACTTCTGTATCCTCAGTGGGTTCTGGTGGCTGGGTGGCACCGAGTGACCTCGGAGTTCGGAGGCTCTTCTGCCTGTGCTGATTCTTGGGAGCCTTTCCGTCGCCGCCGCCCATTCCCTACGGCCTGGAGAGAGTCGTGTAGACGGGCTGCTCCCAATGTGTGGGGCTGTGGGACTGGGGCACGGAGGGCGTGGGGTCAGAGATGGCGGTGTAAAGGGGACGTTGGGAAGGGCCCATGTAGGAGAAGGCAGAGTAGAGACCGGAGGCTTGGGTGGAATGGCTGTAGTAGGGTCCTGAGGGCTGGTGGTCCGGGTAGTCAAACTGCG